ATGGCCCTCTATGATGGACTGAGCTGATTCAGGAGAACATAAGAATGAAAACGGTATCAAATCTACAGTATCAATGGGTGTTCCACCAAAATTGTCAAATATATCATAATCGGCACCCCCAGGAGACGTTGGGCACCCCAAAGAGTCAATGTATAATTGGAACTATGAGCATCAGAGTGCAGAGCCAGGGTGGAGGTCCCTATAGGTCTGCAGAGTTAGGCACAGGTGGTTGGTGCCACCATAATTGGGGACTACGGGCTCATGGTTCCATAGGGAGACATTATTATGAGCCGTCCTCCCCTCAGCAGCCTCCACTGGCGTTAGGCTATGATGGAGTAGAGTGGAGGTGTAGGTGGGGAAACAGCAGGGGGCTCACATCACTGACAGACCTTTACAGCTCCTTCATTACTGACACTCTGGAAAGAGAGCGTATAGCTGCTGGCTGGGACACACACACACGCACGCACACACACAAGTGCATATTGAGACAGTTGTGCATGCATACACATGAGCGTTGTGCACACACACACAAAACATAAGCAAATTTACACACGAAAGCCCTAACACAGACGTCACAAACAGTGAGAGAGAGAAAGTGCAGCGCAGGCTGGGTTTCACTTCCTCCTCTAGAGCAGGACAGAGCAGAGAGGGAGACAGGTGCCTGTGTGAAGGGATGGCTGTGGGGGGCGAGGAGGAGAGAGAGGGAGGATGAAAACCATTACAGACACACAGGCAGGTGCACGAGAGGGAAAGGATTTTCATATTGCCTCCATCACATAATTTAGACAAAAAGGATTTTCACTAATTTCTAAACCTAGGCCTATTTCTTGCTTGAGAACTGAGAAATGAACCAGCATTACCTTGAGGCAACACACAAAATAGTATATGATTTATGCATTCAAATGAGCAATTGGTTAAAAGTGGGTGGGTTCATCGCCAGGCTTCTCCACGCTATAGATCTCAATAATAAGATGTTAAATCAGGAGAAGCCAGGTTGTTAGCAGCAACAAAGCAGACCTCAGTGCTGCAACTGGGCGATTGCACGCCAGCGTAGGCAGAAAATATTTTTGCTATCTCAGATTGTTCTGGCAATTCTCACGTAGAAACTTCATTGGGAGGAAGGATGTTTGATATGCTTTTTACATTTGTATCACAAACTATTTTTGAGAAAATCATGATGCAAGTGGCCATTTTAAGAGCCCTTTTTATACCTATCCATGCGTTCTGTAAGACCTTATGATCCGTGAACCGTACATGATACAGACAACATATTGGTTCATTATACTCCTTATTGTGGGCTCTAACAAATGGAGAATGTCTAGATTCTGAAATACACATTTTCACATTAATTTATTCAACATAAACAATATGAATATCTCAAAAGTACCTTTACAAGTACATCACATTTCCACAGTGGGCTCTCTGCTAGTTATGAAGTTATGATCAATTTCATGAGCTCCACCAACACAGTGAATGGGAAAATGGATTGAAAGGGAATGTGAATGTGCAATCCTAGAGGGCTGTGATTGGTTAATGACCTATAATGTACATTTCTGTCACACCCTGATCGGTTTCACCTGTCTTTGTTATCCCCTGTGTATTTATACCTGTGTTCTCTGTCTGTTGCCAGTTCTTCTTGTCAAGCCTACCAGCGTTTTTTCCCGTACTCCTGGTTTGCTCTAGCCGGTTTTCTAGTTTTTCCCGGTTTTGACCATTCCGCCTGTCCTGAGCCTGCCTGCTGGCCATTCTGTACCTTGTGACACTGTTCTGGATTACCGACCTCTGCCTGCCCCGACCCTGAGCCTGCCTGCCGTTTCTGTACCTTTTGGACTCCGCTTTGGATTACTGACCTCTGCCTGCCCTTGACCTGTCATTTGCCTGCTTCCTGTTTTTGTAAATAAACTTTTGCTATTTTGAACTGTCTGCATCTGGGTCTTATCCTGAGTCGTGATACATTTCTAAAATGGGTCATACCTCAAAAGTACCAGAGAGCCCACTCTGGAAATCTGACGTATTTGACGAGTATATTGTTCTAAACAATCTGTTTTTTTAAAAAAGACAAAAAAAGGGTACTTTTGAGATGTTTATATTAATATTTTTATGTTGAATAAATGAATGTAAACATTTTTATTTCAGAATCTAGACTTACTCCATATTTGAGATAACACTATAAGGAGTATAATGACACCAAGAGGTTGTCTGTATCATGTACAGTTCAAGGATCATAGGGTCTTACAGGACACATGGATAGGTCTAAAAAGGGCCTAAAAGGGTTCTGCCTATGCTGGTGTGGAATCGCCCAACTATGGACTAATCCAGAACTATGATGGTGGTGAGACCAAATGATAGGATCACAAGAGGGCAGGGCCAAGGGGACAGCCACACACATTCAACTGAGGACAACAGACAGACTTCTGAGCAGGAATGTCAACAAAGTATTTATAAATCAAATGAATGATCCACACCACAATACTAAGCATTTCATACTGACAACTCAGCAGACAGGACAGTCTTGAGGTGATGGCAGACAGAATAACAGCAGCTTTGTGGCAGTATAGTGAAAACAACCATGTGATTCAACATTCCACAGAGATTGATTTAATTTATATGAAGGCCAAATGCCACAGACCAATAGGCCAGTGAAAACATTGAAACCTGTAGCCTAGTAGTTGCACTGAGCAGCAGAGGATTGAGTTATATAGGAAGGAATTCACCGGATTCTTCCAACATATTCACCTCAGTCATCCAAGCAGGACGTATGCCTACAACATTCTGAGAGTAAAGAGCAACCCTCCATTTTGTACTTTGACATGTTAAAACATTAACTTAATGGCAGCAGTAGTCTCTGTAAACATGAGTCATAGTGTGCATGGTTAGTGACAGTAGGCCAACTGCATGTGTTGTAGACTAGAGGTATAAAACTGAACTTTATCCAAGGCAGACAGAAGACAATGTTAGCCTACATTTTGTCCCTTTCCACAGAGTCAGTGTAATGTTGTGAAATAAAGTGTTTCTCTGTGTAAACAAACCCTTGACTCAGCGCCATGGAAACCAGTGAACCTTCCCGGCTAGGAACCTGCAGCTACCTGCCAAACCTGTCTGATCGCTTTGGGACTCCTCTGTGAAAAATCACTAACTGACTATTTTTATTTATTTAACTTATTTACAATGACAGCCTACCCGGACGACGCTGAGCCAATTGTGCGCCGCCCTATGGGACTCCCAATCACGGCCGGATTGTGACACAGCCTGGAATCAAACCAGGGTCTGTAGTGACGCCTCTAGCACTGACATGCAGTGCCTTAGACCGCTGTGCCTCACACACACACACACACACACAGTAACAAACACACCAACCAACTGTCATCTTTTCCGGAAAGCTGCCCTTTTCGTCCTCATGCTAGGTAGCAGAAGCGACGTGCGTTGAACAACAAAGGATAGTCAGCCTACGTCGTCGCGCTGTGGAAATGTCAAAATAAAAGTCACATGTGGGGCTGTTAGTCTGAAGTACAATAATTAATTAGTAATCCATTGTAATAATTAATTGGTAATAATTAATTGATAATTGGTAATGTCAATGTTCATTAACAAAGGTACAAAAAAAATTTAACAAATAAATAAACTATTGAAAGACAAAAACAACAACCTTCTAGTGCGTGGCTGTTTATTGCCTTTGTTAATGCACCGTTGACAACAATGACAATGGATTACCAATTAATTATTGTACTTCAGACAAGCATCCATAGTTTTGGTAGAGTTTGATCTATGGTCCTTTCAAGACAACTTGGAATTCTGAAAAAAACTAGGTCAAATCACGATGTCAGTGATCTTCAGGCCGGAGCTCTAGAACGATGCCTGATTTCTGACTTGGAATTCCGAGTTGGATGACCATTCAAAACGATTTTTCATATTCAGTTCCCATTTTTTTCAGAGTTCCCAGTTGTCTTGAACGCACTGAAGTCGAACATTTCAGAGTTTCCAGTGTTTTTGAATGCAGCAAAATATACGAAGCCATTTCCACAGCGTGACGACATAGTCCGCACGGAGCCTGATTGGCTGACTATCCTTTGATGTTCAACTTACATTCTAGTGCCATTTCAAAATGGCTGATGTGGCTTCTGCTACCTAGCATGGGGACGAAAAAGGTAGCTTTCCAGAAAAACTAGCAGTCGTTCAATCTTCCCGGTGTAACAGTTGGGATAATGGGTCAATTTGGAGTGCAATGCATTTCTCATCCCTATATTGAGGTAGGTTTTCCGAGCCATATCGCACTAGCTCCATGGTGTCTTGATCTACACAGTCATGCTGTCCGACCCTAGTGCAGCTGTAAGCAAGTGGGTCGGATCTGCTGGCTAAAAGTCCAAATGCCTTTCCCCGATTCCCCTATTTAGTGCTAGGTTCCCTATTTAGTGCTAAGCTAAGTCTAACTGAATGAGAGCCACTGAAAGTGTCATTAGATTCCCTGTTCTCCACTCTCTCCCCAGAGACAGACTAGGCTTAGCAGGCTAGCGTTCAGCAGGCTGCCTGGTGGTTGAGCCGAGTTCAGTCCTGTCAGCCAGTGAAAGGTTAACCTGACAGCTGCTCAAGGAGGAGGTCACGTTGGGTTGTGTCACCACCGACCAAAGCCCTCACATTCCTCTCACACAAAACCCCATGTTAGCACTGAACCCGCTGGCTATCGCACGCTCCTCTCCAAACCCCTAGCCAGCCAACAAAGTCAAAGCTATTTAATCCCCAGTGAACGGAGGGAGAGAGAAAAAAAGCAGAATAAAAGAGAATGGGTTTTTATTCAGACCTACTGTGCAGTTTGGGTCTGGCAGGGTTCCCACATGCTCCTCACATTCTAGGCTAAATCCAAGTACAACTCTCTCAACCCTCCCTCTACTAACTATCCACCCATTTCCTCCTCTAGTGTCCCCCCACAGCCCGCCCCTTCCGTCCACAGCCAAGACCGCCCCTGCTTTATATAGAGCTGACTTCCTGTTCACCTTTGACCCCCACTAGATCCCGCCCACTCCTGGCAGGCCTCCACTACCAGCAGGCAGATAAGGCCGGATGACTGGTAGAACAGAGAGAGGCAGTCATAAAGAGAGAGAGAGAGAGAGAGAGATAGAGAGAGAGAGAGAGAGAGAGAGAGAGAGAGAGAGAGAGAGAGAGAGAGAGAAAGAGAGACTGATAGATCTACAGACCAGAGAGAGAGAGAGCCAACCGCAGCCAGAGAAACAGCCAATCCTCTCTCAGACCCATGGAGGGCAGGTTTCCCAGCGGCAGGGGCCCCTCCCCCTCCAGAGAGCAGAGCAGTGACATGGTGTCAGGTTTCAGGGCTGGCTGGCTGCAGCACTTGCTGCCTGGCTGGGAGTTACATAAACCTCACCCAGGAAGGTCAGGAAGCAACAAAGACAGCAATTCAGTGGGGGCCCACAGCCACAGACACCCTCGGCCGTGGGCCTCACATACATGGTCCCCCTGACCCCCCCTCACTTTAGTCTCAACGCCCCCAGAGGCCAGAGGAGGGGGTGAGGGGAGAGAGAGGAGGGGGTGTCAAAGAATAAACCTAAACCACTGATGCACTGAGTCAGACAGGAGGCACCTGCTGTACAGCACAGCAGCACATCATAAGCTATTCAACCACCAGGGTGTGCCTACTGCCTAGACCACCACACCATAAGGCTATTTGTTTGTAATGGGGCTGTCATGCAGTAAGTTAGAGTCGTGGACTGAATCATGTGTGAGGACAGATAAGGGAATGCACAACCCATGGTGAGATGGTTCTCTGCCAACTACATCTAGTAGCCTAGTTGTTGTCTATAAAAGGGTTTCCCAAACTCGGTCCTGGGGCCCCCCCTGGGTGCACGGTTTAGTTTTTGCCCTAGCACTACACAGCTGATTCAAATAGTCAAAGCTTGATGAGGAGTTGGTTATTTGAATCAGCTGTGTAGTGCTAGGGCAAAAACCAAAACCCTGGTCTATAAAATGGAAGATTAGTTTTTCACGATTGTCTCTATTTAGAAAAATAAAACATCACCTGTTTTCATTTATTTGACTGAATCAGGTTATTACTACCCTAAATGGTACTGTGCCTGTCCCATTGATAACCATTAAAAAAATCAGAAATACCTTATTTACATAAGTATTCAGACCCTTTGCTATGAGACTCGAAATTGAGCTTAGGTGCATCCTGTTTCGATTGATCATCCTTGAGATGTTTCTACAACTTGATTGGAGTCCACTTGTGGTAAATTAAATTGATTGGACATGATTTGGAAAGGCACACACCTGTCTATATAAGGTCCCACAGTTGACAGTGCATGTCAGAGCAAAAACCAAGCCATGAGGTCGATGGAATTGTCCGTAGACCTCCGACACAGGATTGTGTCGAGGCACAGATCTGGGGAAGGGTACCAAAAAATGTCTGCTGCATTGAAGGTCCACAAGAACACAGTGGCCTCCATCATTCTTAAATGGAAGAAGTTTGGAACCACCAAGACTCTTCCTAGAGCTGGTCGCCCGGCCAAACTGAGCAATCGGGGGAGAAGGGCCAGGTCAGGGAGGTGACCAAGAACCCGATGGTCACTCTGACAGAGCTCCAGAAACAAGATTCTCTGGTCTGATGAAACCCAGATTGAATTCTTGGCCTGAATGCCTGGAGGAAACCAGGCATGGTGGTGGCAGCATCATGCTGTGGGGATGTTTTTCAGCAGCAGGGACTGGGAGACTAGTCAGGATCGAGGGAAAGATGAACGGAGCAAAGTACAGAGAGATCCTTAATGAAAACCTGATCCAAAGCGCTCAGGACCTCAGACTGGGGCGAAGGTTCACCTTGCAACTGGACAACGATCCTAAGCACACAGCCAAGAAAACGCAAGAGTGGCTTCGGGACAAGTCTCTGAATGTCCTTGAGTGGCCCAGCCAGAGCCTGGACTTGCATCTCTGGAGAGACCTGAAAATAGCTGTGCAGCGACGCTCCCTATCCAACCTGACAGAGCTTGGGAGGATCTGCAGAGAAGAATGGGAGAAATTCCCCAAATACAGGTGCGCCAAGCTTGTAACGTCATACCCAAGAAGGCTCAAGGCTGTAATCGCTGCCAAAGGTGCTTCAACAAAGTACTGAGTAAATAGTCTAAATACTTATGTAAATGTGATATTTCCGTTTTTTTTTTTTATACATTTGAAAAAATCTCGACCTGTTTTTGCTTTGTCATTATGGGGTATTGTGTGTAGATTGACGAGGGGGGAAAACTATTTAATCCGTTTTAGAATAAGGCTGTAACGTAACAAAATGTGGAAAAAGTCAAGGGGTCTGAGTACTTTCCGATTGCACTTAGGCCCACTGAGGACTTCTTCGAACAGACCAAGTGAAGTCTAATTCAAATTGCCTTGGTATGACCCTATCCAACCAGGCCCTTTCATACTCTGCTCCTTCACCCTTTATCATACTGCTGTCTTCACAATGACTGGGAACAAAGGCCCTCTGTCTAGAAGTCAGTCTGTGTGACACTAACAGTGAACAGAACCAGCACATGTCACAGCCAAGCACTAGCTCCTGAGGACTAGGCCTACAACTGGCTGGAGACTAGGGCTGGGTGGTATAGCATATTTTACTATATACCGGTATTGCTGCACAGACCGGTTTGGGTTTTTACTTTACCTTGTAAAGCGATATTTCAATGTTTGGTTTGTTAAATGTGTTACGCCACTCCGCCGCGTGTAATGTCATTTTTTATAGTTTACTTCGTTTGCTACTTGAGTCGTCTCTCTCCCTCTCTCCTTCCACACACACCAAGCCCCGCCCACTGTCACTAAAGGAGAACAGTTTTTGCGCTACCACGAGTCACAACAACCACTCGCAAAAACAGTCTGCATCTATCTTACTGTCTGCAAACAGCTAGTTTGTCTTTTCTTAGCAAGTTGTGGTTAAAATAATTTGTGTTAGCCACTAATGCTAATTGCTAGATAGTTGGCTAGCTAGCCAGCTAAATGTACTTAGTCAGAGCAAAGGTAGCTAGCTAGCTAGCTAATACAGCCTGATACCAGTGCTGGTGTAGGCCTATATCAGCAGGTTGTTTGTGCAACGGTATATTCTAAATCATAGAGAAATTGGTGAAGCATGAATATTTTAGCTACATCAAAGCTACAGTTAGAGAAAACATTTTATGTAACATTAATTAGGGTCCACTAGGAAACATTTGACCAACACTTTGGTTCCTACCCTGTCACAATAACCCCTCCCTGGCTTTTTCATTTGTTGTCATGTCAAACAACACTGTATTCAAAGTGCCCACTATATGCCAACTTTTGGTTGAAATTTCATTGAACAGTATAAAACAATCAGGACAATGGACAAAGCCCCATTACAAACACTTAGAATGTATGTTTTTCCACCCTAGGGTCATGCACTACTCATAAAGCATATTTAGAACTTTTAATATTATTCAAAAACCTCAAATACCGTCAAAAATGAGAAAAATATTGGGATATGATATTTTTGCTATATCGCCCAGCCCTACTTTATAGTACTGGGGTCAAAAAAATATGATCCATTAGTAGTGATAATGTGCATGGCAAAACATTTGCTTGCTATCTCGGCAAGAGGACCAAAGCAGCATTGATCATGGCTGGGCCTCAAGAACAGGACAGAATCCATCCTACTCTCCATTGTTAAAGACAGACGGAAATCCTAATCAGCCACATGCAGTGCAGACTAGGGACAGACACAGTGCTTCATTTGTAAATCGGGAGGTGCCGGAGCAAAATGTGACCTAGGGAGCTAAAAAAAAAACAAAAAAAAAACATATGTATAGTGAAGCATTGCATGCATTTGCGTAGTGGCATAGAGAAGTAGAGTAGAGGCACTTACAGAAGATGTTGCATACATGGAGAACATTCTTAGGGGCCTAGGGTCTGGGAAGAATGTGGCCTTTTATAAACACATTTCATGCAATTCTACATCATTTTACATGACTGGAGACTTTAGCATAATCTTTTTTAATGCCGTGGTCAAAACATGGGAACTCGGAACTGGGAAATCTCCAACTTCCGACTTCAGTGCGATCAAGACAACTGGGAACTCGGGGAAAAAAAAAAAAACTAGCTCAGACTGGGAACATTTGTTCTGAACGGTCAACCAACTCTGAATTCCAAGTCGGGAACTCAGGCCTCTTTCTAGAGCTCCGACTTTCTGAACTGAAGATCACTGACGTCATGATTCGACCTCGTTTTTTTCCTGAGTTCCCAGTTGTCACGAAAGCACCAAAATACAGCACAAATGATTGAAATGACAGGCTACTTTGACACTGACAAACTGAGATCAATAAAAACGACCTTGTCTCGAATCCATCAATAGCCTAGGCCTAGGTGTGTGGAGACACATATTGGTGTCAGGCGTTCCCGACTGTAGGCTATGCCTTGTTATTGGGCTACACACCACAGCTAGGAAAAACATTTTTTAAAGAAGCTGTTGATCCTCTGTGGCTAAATGATATGCTTTTTCATGGTGTAGTAGGCTATTCTGAATGATGTCATTTATTTCTGAACAGACAGCAGTAACTCTATAACTTTGGCAAATGTATTTGAATTTATCAGGGCTGCTGCAGCTCCTCCAGAACCCGTCGTGCTGCTATGATTCTATAAGGAAATAAATGATGAAGTGCAACGCTGGAGAGATCAGAGTTGCAGGCTCATTCATGTCTATCAGAGCAGAGAGAGGGAGAGAGATCATAGAAAGTGAATCTTGTTCCAGTTCTGTGAGAGACACAGGCGAGCTTCTCACACAGCCACGGCCACGCGTTGGTCTCAAACATAGGTTACAATGTTGCGCAAACCATAAGCCCAGCCCGAATCAACTCGTACAATATCAGGCCCGGGCTTGGGGGGAGGGGGGGGGTTAGGATAACTAACGAAGAGACAACTCAAATTAACTTTGATCGCTTATATTAAAATGTTTACATTTCAAAAAGTGAACATTATTTTTCATGCCATGAGAGGTACCGGATCCGGCCAAATAGCACAAATGAAGCACTGGACAGACACAGGGCCATGGGGTGAGACAGGGCCAGACACTGGACCAGGGAGTGAGACAGGGCCAGAGACAGGGAGTGAGACTAGGACAGTGGGGTGGGCACCGCTCTATCCCCTGATGCCCTGCCTGTTCAGCAAACACACTATCTGTTGGCTCTTCACACACCAGTGGACATGAATAGAGCAGTCTGCCCATAAGCATCAACATAAGGGTGGATGTTGACACAGACTGAAGAGAGGCTGGGCCCGTTCGCTGAGGTTCCATGTCCCATTTCAATTAGGAACGTCTGCGGAGGGACAAATTGGCTACTGGGTCAAAACACCCGTCTGTGCTTGAGTATTTCAGCCTACCTGTTAGTCTAAGTGGTAGAGTTGAGAGAGACATAGCTATCATGTCACCACTCACCAGAGAGTACCTGTGTGTGTGTGTGTGTGTGTGTGTGTGTGTGTGTGTGTGTGTGTGTGTGTGTGTGTGTGTGTGTGTGTGTGTGTGTGTGTGTGTGTCTACAGAGCCAGTCAGAGATAGTACTGATGAATGCTGAGCTGCATGTGCCAGCACTAGAGCCATGGATGGGAACAGACACACTGTGCTGCTGCTGATCAGATGTGGGTTCAAACACTATTTGAAATCTTTCAAATACTTTGAGCCTTCGCTCTAGCCTGCCTGGAGTTCCAGATGTGTGGGGTTAATAGTTTTGGGACAATTCTATTGGTTCCATTAATCAAGCACAGCTTAAGTATTTTATATAATATCAAATAGTATTTGAACCCAGGTCTGACAGTACAGGCTGCTGCTGATGCTCCTCTTTGCATGGCTGTCTGCGTCACTGAGGGGCCAGGCTCAGAGAGGCGTGTGGATGGATGCCGCTATGCTACTGGCCAGCTCTGCTCCAGGATCCGCCTTGTGCCTGTCAGAGCCAGAGCAGCACACTAATGCACTCTCTACCTCTCTCTCTCAGTGTCTGTCTCTAGCCTCCCTCCCTCCTTCTCTCCCTCTCTCCCTCCTTCACAAGCTCTCCCTCACTCACTCACTCCCTCTGTCCGTCTCTATCCTCTCTCGCTCTCACCCTCCCCCTCCACTCTCTCTCTCTCAAAGACAAACACACACAGAGAAAACCACAACAGCAACCACCCCCACACTCTACACTCTATCTAGCCATGTAGTGAGTGCAGTGTGCAGCAGCAAGACAGACAGTCAGGCAGTGTCTCTAGCCTCCCGCCTGCCCTGACCCACATCTATAGTCTTGAGTACGCTTAGTTACTGTAAGTCCTGGAGACACTGCTGCCACTCTTAATGAGGCCCTGGGATACAGCTAGGCTACTGTAGTTACCTGATGTCTGTATGTGTCCCAAATTGCACCCTATTCTCTATTTAGTGCACTACTTTTGACCAGGGCTCTGGTCAAATATAGGGAAAAGGGTGCCATTTGGGACACAATATTGGGAGGATAGCTACACTAGGCTGTATTATTATCATTTAAAGGAGGGCTGAGCCTCCTTCCCCTCCCTCACTCCCTCCCTCCCTCCCTTCCTCCACCTCCCCCTGATTGCAGGTGCACCAAATATGCTCATGCGCTTCCAGGGCTAGTTAAATATTACATGGGTGGGTGGCTGGCTGGCGTCTGGCTGCTGAGAGGAGTGAAAGCATGGCAAGTCTCTATGTCAGTGCAAGAGATTTATCCATTAACGTAGCTGACACAAATACATGTCTCACTGTCAATTCCTTCAATTAATTTCCAACAAATCAACCAAACTGAATAGATAAAACAACCTGGATAAGATGCAGATATAGATTTAAATGGGAATGAAATTCGCTTCACCAATCCCAGTGGAAGGGCAACTATTAGAGCCAACAACCACGACAATTCTATACATACGCAATGTGTATTTCTTCCCCTGTAGTAATACATTAAAGCTGCAATATATAACTTTTTGAACGACCCGACCAAATGCACATAGAAATGTGACATAGATCTGTCATTCTCATTGAAAGCAAGTCTAAGAAGTGGTAAATCTGTTCTATGTGGATGCTTCCTGTTCTAAAATTTAATTTTTTGCGTCTTTTACTTTCGGTTTTGTACACCAGCTTCCAACAGGTGAAAATACAATATTTTGGGTGGTTTAGATGGTACAATGACTCTCTACACTATACTTGCTTGTTTTGTCACATAAACTGAAATTAGGCGAACTATTAGAATTGTAGCAACCAGGAAATGGCAGAGCTATTTCTGCATACTGCATCTTTAAATAGATGAATGAAGGGGAACTCTGCGGAATCTGGATAACTAGGTACTTCATCCAAATCATCCTTTCTGAGTCTGTCAGCATATGTCAGCCTAGCCAGACTCCGACTGAAAGCAAGTGTTAATGGCCCAGTGGGCTTACCTTTATCTCGTAGTCCATGGATATGTAGTTCCTGTCTTCCTCCTTCATCTCTTCTTCTTCCTCTCCTTTTCCATTCCTCTCTCCATCCCCACCATTGGTCCAGGAACAGTTGGAGTCATGGTGGTTGTGCTGACTGAGGGCAGCCTCCAGCTGGGGAAGCAGCTCATCAGCCAGCAGGTCCGGAGCCTCCAGGCCCTCAAAGCCCCCTCCTTGGGCCTCCACCTCCCCTTGCAACCCTGCCAGGCTATCCTCTAGAGACGCGTAGCCGTTAGTGGTAGTGGTGCTGGCCGGAGGTCTAGTAACTTCCAGGTTAGACCCACAGTTCTGGGGCTGGTGCTGGTCTGGGACAAGCTGGCTGGCTGCACTGGGGTAGCAGCTCATGGCCTGCCCAAACATCTCAGACGAGTCGTAGTTCCCCTGGGTCTGCCTGGAGCAGCGCAGAGCCCGGAAGGGACATTCGTCCTCAGCCTGGCTGACTGGGACCTGCTCGGGCTGCTGGTTATGCTGAGTCATCCCTGGAGCAGACGTAAATGCACATCCAGCTCCTGAGAGAGAGAGTTCAGGCACTGAGGAGGGCAGGGGAGTGGTGGTGGGGGTCATGGACAATGGGGCTGAAGAGAGAGGCTGGCTCAGGCTGGAGATGTCAGGCTGTCCCTGGCCAGGGAAGGAGTACTGGGAGGGAGGGTAGGTGGTGGTGGAGTTCACTGAGCAGGAGGACAGGGTGTGAGCTATGGGGGAGGAGGTCTGCATGGAGAAGGACATGCTAGAGTTCTCTGGCCCTACCCCAGGGAATGCCCCCTGAGCCCCCTGCACCAGCTGGTAGCCACCCTGCTGTGGTGGAGCTCCAGCCAGCGAGGCATTGGGGGTTTCCACATAAGATTTGGCCAGAACCCCTGAGTTAGGCACAGCCCTGGAGTGGAATTGGGTCCCCCCGATGGTAAGCTGCTGGATGTGGGGAGCTGGCTGTTGGTTGGCCTGGTGGAAGGGGAAGCTGTGGTGCTGCTGGGGAAGAGACTGGGGGTTCACTACCTGTTGATGAGGGTGCTGCTGCTGCCGCTGGTTCAATAGCTGGTGTTGCTGCTGTAACTGCTGCACTTGTTGTTGCTGAAGTTGTTGTTGACAGGGGTGGAGCTGCTGCTGCTGTGGCTGTTGCTGTCGGAGGTGATGCTGTTGGTTGTGGAGTTGCTGCTGTTGTTGATGTAGTTGTTGTTGTTGCTGGGGCACTGAGTGGTAGAGGTTCCCGTTCTGGTCCTGGTTGCCCCACATGGGGCTGCTGATGGAAAACAACCCATTGGTTTGGGGTGCCTGACCCATTGAGCATCCATGGAACTGGGCATGCTGTGCTGCTACTATCCCTCCACCTCCTCCACCCACGCCCTCAGACCCAGCGAAGGGCTGTCCCATGGAGTTCTGAGCCTTCATGCCCGGAAAGTGCCCCATCTGCTGCCCATAACCCATGCTCTGTTGGGTGGAGGAGGGCATGGAGGTGGGTATCATCCCGGGGTGTTTCCCTGCCACCATCGGCTCCACCTGTAGGGGCTCGAAGCCTGCGCTGAGGTTGAGCTCATCCACCAGCGAGGGTCCAGGAGGGAAGCCCTCAGCCAGCCCGTCCAGCCCTTCCACAAACAGGTTGGGGTCGTCAAAGAAGTCCATGATGGGATCTGTCATGGCCCAGGGGCCAGGGTCAATCTTCCGGAGACCAGTCCCACACGTTGGACCTCTGCTGGGTTCAAGCTGGTGCTGAGGAGCGTCACGTGTTACTGAGCTACAGTAGGTCCATCACAGACAGGCTCTGTAGAGAAAAACCAAGACAAAACCTCAAGTCAGATTTAACAGAGAGAAGAAAAACATGCATCTTTAAAACATGTCTCGTTTATACTGAGCTGTGTGTGGGCTGCACAATAAAGAGATTTTCAGTTGTCAAATAGATTTTAAGCAATTTAGCCTGCCTCTTTTTGAAGTTCATCCTGTGTTTTTCAAATCAATACACTTCTAGTTGTTTTCAAGATCTCCATACACCTCTACCTCATATACACTACAATAAGCAATTTATTACCATAATAGATGCTCTCAGCCACGTAAACAACATCAGTGAAAACAGCGGCTGCCAAATAGCCAGGTAATGGCTAGGTCAGACAGGCCTGGGATAAATTTGGCACCGTCAATTCTCTCTGGTTGGCAGGGGGTAGTTGTGTGGTAACACATCTGATCTGATCTAAACTGAACCAACTGCCAGACAGACCAGCAGCCAGGTGCCTCTAGTCTTCCTCGGTTCAAAGCCCTCTGATCTGCTCAGCCTCAGCCCTGTGGCTGTGCTGTGCCTGCTATCTACTGAGCCGTCTGTCTGCTAGTAGCTCCTGAATGTGTGGGAGGAAGGTGCAGACAGACAGATAGACATCTGATGCTGTTTGTGTCAACAGCCAGGGAGGTTGGCTCAGGATGCATCTAACCACAGACCAATGACCAATAGAAGATGACGGAACACTCGTGTCAGTCAAGATCTGCTGACTCATACTCACTACACACACTCACCTCACAACAAACACTTTGACATGCCTTCATGGCTCTCACAAGTCTTCTGATACAGAGGGGGGGCATACAACTGAGATCCACTGCTTCAACCACAACTCGTGAACCTCTGCTAAGGTGAAGTGGGGTAATGGATAGGCTTGGGCGGTATACCGTATATACTGTATACCGGGGTATTTGGAAATAGCCACAGGATGGTTTTTCAATACCGTCAATACCGTTAACTATTTCTTTGAAGTTTTTCTATATATTCTAATATTTGTAGCTACTTGCGTTCTTTATTTTACATTATGAAGCTTACCGTAGTTCCCCAGAACAGTTGAGCCAGTCGCGTGTTGGTTTGTAAATGGCACAAAGCGGGAGCAGGTGAGTCCAGCTGTGTATTGACAGGGGTCGTGTTTTATATTGAAAGTCATGTGTTTTTCTGCTTCAATAGAGTGATCAGGGGCGTGCAACTATAGTTTACCTTCACAGAAAATACATTACTGCAACACGTTCCGCAGAAAATAGCGTAATTTTCATCAGATGACAACAGAAGTGCAACGCAATTTGGCTGCCAGCCACACAAGTAGGCTGAATGAGCTTACGATGAAAAAGCAAGGTATCTTTTGCAAAAACAATGCATGGCCATCATATTTCTGTTTATCATAGGAAGAATGTAGCCAGCTACATTTCCTAATGTTTTTCTCATAGTTCATCTGGAGAAAAGTAGGCTGGCTACATCGAGAAAAGTACCTACATCAGAACACTGTCTGCTGATAGAACGCCCTTAGTGAATTCTCATCCGAGTGGAGAAGTGCACCTGAAGCACAACATTTGTCTGATGCCGAGCAGAAATTACGGAGCATTTTAGATTTGCGTTTACAAAATGCAGCAATATATTTCTTATGCGTTTTACCTTATTTTCCTGCTTGGAAAGGTGACAAATTCTGCGTTAACGTGACCCCTAAGTTACACTTGCTAGTTTTCTAAGTTAGTGGCTGAATTAATAAGGTGACGGGGCATCCATCATATTGTGTTGGCTTTCTGCCGTGTTTGAGAAGTAAAAGCCCTTTCGATGCGTTATCTGTACAGCTGCCACTGATTTCCTTGTGTTTTTTTCTCCTCTCCATTCTTGGCCTGTCTTCTTCTCTAAGCAGAGCAGGCAGGTCTGTTGCCCCGGAGACTCCAGACTCCACACAGACACAGCGTGTACACATGCTGCTCCAGAGCCAGTACTGTTTATTGCACAATGTCTCTCGTTCAAATCCGCTTGGAAATGTCCAAACTCCCATGGCGTTTTTCTATTTTGTTGCATTACAACCTGTAATTTCAATGGGGTTTTATTGGATTTCATGTAATGGACATACACAAAATAGTCCAAATTGGTGAAGTGAAATTAAAAAAATAACTTGTTTCAAGAAATTCAAAAAATTAAATAACGGAAAAGTGGTGCGTACATATGTATTCACCCCCTTTGCTATGAAGCCCCTAAATAAGATCTGGTGCAACCAATTACCTTCAGAAGTCACATAATTAGTTAAATAAAGTCCACCTGTGTGCAATCTAAGTGTCACATGATCTGTCACATGATCTCAGTATATATACACCTGTTCTGAAAGGCCCAAGAGTCTGCAACACCACTAAGCAAGGGGCACCACCAAACAAGCGGCACCACGAAGACCAAGGAGCTCTCCAAACAGGTCAGGGACAAAGTTGTGGAGAAGTACAGATCAGGGTTGGGTTGTAAAAAAAGATCTGACACTTTGAACATCCCACGGAGCACCATTCAATCCATTATTAAAAAATTGAAAGAATATGGCACCACACCACAACAAACCTGCCAAGAGAGGGCCGCCCACCAAAACTTACGGACCAGGCAAGGAGGGCATTAATCAGAGAGGAAACAAAGACACCAAAGTTAAGCCTGAAGGAGCTGCAAAGCTCCACAGCGGAGATTGGAGAATCTGTCCATAGGACCACTTTAAGCCGTACACTCCACAGAGCTGGGCTTTACGGAAGAGTGGCCAGAAAAAAGCCATTGCTTAAAGAAAAAAATAAGCAAACATGTTTGGTGTTCGCCAAAAGGCATGTGGGAGACTCCCCAAACATATGTAAGAAGGTACTTTGGTCAGATGAGACTAAGATTTAGCTTTTTGGCCATCAAAGAAAACGCTATGTCTGGCACAAACCTCATCACCACAACAACACCATCCCCACAGTGAAGCATGGTGGTGGCAGCATCATGCTGTGGGGATGTTTTTCCATCGGCAGGGACTGAGAAACTGGTCAGAATTGAAGGAATGATGGATGGCGCTAAATACAGGGAAATTCTTGAGGGAAACCTGTTTCAGTCTTCCAGAGATTTGAGACTGGGACGGAGGTTCACCTTCCAGCAGGACAATGACCCTAAGCATACTGCTAAAGCAACACTCGAGTGGTTTAAGGGGAAACATTTAAATGTCTTGGAATGGCCTATTTAAAGCCCAGACCACAAGCCAATTGAGAATCTGTGGTATGACTTAAAGATTGCTATATACCAGCAGAACCCATCCAACTTAAAGGAGCTGGAGCAGTTTTGCCTTGAATAATGGGCAAAAATCCCAGTGGCTAGATGTGCCAAGCTTATAGAGACATACCCCAAGAGACTTGCAGCTGTAATTGCTGCAAAAGGTGGCTCTACAAAGTATTGACTTTGGGGGGGGTGAATAGTTTTGCACGCTCAAGTTTTCTGTTTTTTTGTCTTATTTCTTGTTTGTTTCACAAGAAAAAATATTTTGCATCTTCAAAGTGGTAGGCATGTTGTGTAAATCTAATGATACAACCCCCCCAAAAATACATTTTAATTCCAGGTTGTAAGGCAACAAAATATGGAAAAATGCCAAGGGGCGTGAATACTTTCGCAAGCCACTGTATGTATAACTTTATAGCTGGACTGCCTGTCTTTTCAAAAAAATTTTTTCCATGTGTGCTTGTTAGCATATTTAGCTAGCAGCCTCCATGGTAAAACCGTAAATCCCAGGATGAGAGAAGGACGGTATGATGATATGAAAATCTGGATACCACCCAACCCTAGTAGTGGGGCTGTCCCTGGCTATGATGAAACCTCAGTTTTTACTCATTGTTACAAAGGCCCAGTATGCAATGTGACACAATCACACAACCAAGACAATACACAAGATTCATACAGGAAGCATCGAGACTTAACCCTAACCTGGTTACTGTGAATCATTCATGTAGCCTTACTCATCTTCATAAATGATAGATGTGCTGGACCTCCATTCCATAACAACAGTTGGAACTATGTTTAACAGGAGCACCAGATAGCAGGGGCCAGATCATATCCCATGCCCAGCTCCTGGCTATACTAGAGCTCTGTTCTCGTGTGACTAGCAGCCAGCCCAGGAGTAGGAGAGTATTATCTTCTCTTGCAACACTGACCTACAGCTGAGGGCAGGCTAGGCGTGATAAGAGAGCTCCCATTGCTCTCAGCCACTTAGCAGGGCTCCATGGTAACTGAAAATGAGCAGAATGGCCAGGCCTAATTCTCCCAAACAGACAGGAAAATCTGATCACTCAATTAGAGGTAACATCTGACCAGAATCCTACCCGGGCCGCTGAACGGTCTGAATGAGTAATAAGAGGTAGGCTAGGTAGCTTATCTGAGCCGCATAGAGTTTTTCCTGCTGCTGTTTCTTCGTCTTGTATTAGTTGGGACCAATGATGAACTGTAGAACCTAAGCTATATGATGTACAATACAACCGGTTACAAGTTGTATATGGTTGAGACTAGGGCTGTCCCCGACTAAATAATAGCTTGGTCGATCGAAAGTCTTCTGTTCTTTCGACCAATCGATTGGTTGACATTTTAAAATGTGTATTTTTCCACATCTAGCCAATGTGTTTTAATAAAATCAACTATATATGCATTGAGCTTGTCTGATGCATTAAGCACAATTTTGATTAAATAAGACACAAATGACTCAAGACGGAGTCAGATATCAATATAATCAGAAGAAGAAAAACTTAACCTGACCATCCTCCTCCCGCTCCTACTGGCTTTCGCAGATTCTGCCGTTACTCTCCTGAAGTTGTCGGTAATAGGTTACACGTGGAGTCGGTAACCTTTCTGATGTGAAATGCCATTTTATCTTACAATT